AAGTATTCCTTACTTCCCTTTTCTCTTTCTTAAGTTAATATACTAATATTGTTCTTATTTTCCACCAAATAATAAATATGATACTAAATAGTTCTTTCACTGATTCATGGGTAGCTTTTAGGTACTATGGTTTCTTTTGTTAAATTGTTAAATTTCTGATTTTGTCAATACTTAAATGTTTACAATGATTCCCAATGCTTCTAATTTATGTAATCAAACTTTTAATTAGTTTTCTAATTTTGAAAGTGAAGTATGGAAGTGCATGAATGTGGGGAAGTTATTTGTCAATTTAGAGAAAATACAGGGCCAAATTATGGCATTTTCAGAGCAAATATGGTGCTGAAGGTTGGTTGCTGAATGAGAAACGAGAAATATATGGTGGAAGCAAAGCCTACAGAAGAATATCTAAAATGTGAATAGCTCCATACTTAGCAAGTAGGCGATCAAGGATGTGAGAATTCAATGAATGTATGAAAAAATGTGTATGAAATTGTGTTAGGACTGTATTGGTGCATATTGTTTTTAGAAAATATTGTTTTTAGGAAATATTATTGGATGAGAACCTAAATGATTTCAGCAGATGTTAGACTGTACGATGCAACAAGAATTATTGTTACTGGGAGTCAGATGGTATATACATTTTACTATTATCAGATCACTATGTCTGACAGGGGAAATGGAGTGAAGGACTGAATGTTATACTGTACAGAAACAATTATTATTTCTGGTTTGCAATGATAGAAAGGTATGGAGAGATCCAGCCAATGGTACCAGAGTAAACAAGGTATCTTTGTATGTCTTCTTCTTACTTCATGCCTTAATTTCTTCACTTAATATTTCTTATCCTTTTCTGAGCTCTCCATAACAATGCTTACCTCCTAAGGGAATATTGTAAGGATGTACGTACAAAAGTACTATGCAAGTTACTTTCTTTCTGTGTATCTTCCCACAGGATGCTGTTTAAGATTGTAGATTAAACAAGCGTGTCAGTAAAATTGACTATTTTACTGACACACATATATGGATTACAGCTGTAGTGGAGTTGCTTTTTTCAGAAATGATTAGCCATCCTTACACTTTTTTCCAGGCCTCTAATTAACTTAGAAAAAGAATTTGCTTCCTAAGTTTTCTTAGCAGAGGAATCTGCTTGCCTACACTTTGTCCAGGTGGTTTATGTGTTTTCTGATGCTTGGAAGAAATGTTTCTTACTGCATCACTAATCTCCTTAAAATAGAACTTTTTCTCTCTAACACGTGGCAAGAATGCTTTTGACAGTATAATGTAACGCCTTTACTAATTTTAGTTTAGTTCTGTTTCATTAGTATGTGAATATTTTATTTCATTCTGCCATCCTCAGCTTTGCTATATTCCAACCCTATCAGCCTTTTAATATATATATATATATAATGCTTTTAAATATGTAATCCAAATAGTCCATTTTAACACTATCACTATGGTCTTAAATAAACAATTTCAGTAAGATCCAGTTTAAATTTCTTTTGTGCATGCAACCAAAAATACAATTTCAATCCCATCTTTGGATTTTTAGTCAGCATTTTTTCTTTAATAGATAGCTGGATAGAAACTTGGATTCAACTGGGCACAGTTCCCTTATTTCAATTTCATCTAGGACACATAGATAAAAATATCACTCCCATCTCTTAAGTTGATTCTTAGCAAAGCAGTTACGATGTTTTGCTTTCAAGTTTTCTAAGTAAATGGATGAAAATGACCAGGAAATTACATCAGTGCATGATTAAGCCCTCCCCCGAAATGTTATAATCCTGCTTCTTCTATTTGCTAAGGCTGCTACGGTGCAGTAGAACCAAGTAAAGTTATTCTCTGGAGAAGGGGACATACTGTATGCCATTTGACCAAGCATAATATATCTCTAATAATTGCAAAGAGGCATGTGTGTTCATCTCTTCCAGTGCTTTGAACTGTCATTCATAGTACACAGATCTGGGATTTATGAAGTGCTCTTTCACAATGTAAAGTTAAATAATAAACAGGCTGAGAAATCTTACCATATATATTTTCACCTTAATGAAGGTATAATCAACTAAAATAACCTTACTTACCATAGGCAGTGGAACAAAAATAACTATTAATTTTCTTCCTTGAAAAATACAAGAAATATGCACAACAAATTCTGAAGTTAAAAATCCCATCTCAAGTACTTGTCTTAAGGACAGGACATAATAAGCAGTGTTGCTTGTTCTTTTATCTGTATAATTCATTATAAACACACTGGAGCCTCTTTAGACAAAATTATCTGATTACATGCAGTTCATTGTATAATGCAAATGGACATTGCTCAAACAGCTAAAAATAATTCATATGAAATGAAAGAATAGATGGAGTGATAACTGACAGAAAATAACCGCATGCCAGTTCAAACATCTCATTCATTCATACTTCAGAAGCATACTAGACTAAAATTAAATGTCTCCATAACATAAAAAGAAAATGTGAGACATACAGAATTAGTAACCCAATTCAGGAAAATAGCAACTCTTCTATATAATCCTGACATTTAATTTATATTGGATTGCTACTGATTTTTTTTTATTATGAAGCACTTAAAGTGGAAAAAAACACAAGACAGACTTCAATGTTCAACAGAACCCCCTTCCCCACCGAAGAAATCAAAATGCATGCAAATGATTTAATGCATCAGTATTGCAGACTACTTTGCACTCTTCCTCTTTCAGAGTATGTGCAGTGCAAGGAGTAACTCTCACTCACTCACTGACACATACACACACAACGCTCCTAATGTTTTTTGTGAGAAGAATTTAGTTATACGTCTCATCCAAAACTCAACCCCATCTCAGATTGTATTTACTCAAGGAGAGAGACTTCTCTGTTGGGTGATCTCAGTTACATTTGAATGGAGAATGTCCTTTGAGGTAGAACTCATTCATCTTCAAGAGCAGTTAGTCAGGAATGCCTGGTAAATAGCTATCTAATATATACATTGGCTCAAAATGTGCATGACTGAAGAAGGAACACAACGAACTAATAAAAATGACAGAAATTATATTTTCCAGGAATGACAGAATGTCAAGCTATCAAGCTTTACTTTGATTACATATTGATTGCATTGCCTCAATCAATCCCATTTTTATGGAACTGGTATTGTTCGCTGAGCTATTCTTGTATTTTTGTATGCCCTTTTTTTAAAATATAAAAACTCCTGAACTAGCTCCCCCTTTCCCCCACAGGCAATGTGAGAAGTGTGCTTGAGAATTTTTGCTAATGGAATTGTGGACACTGACATGCATGATCAGCCAACTGAAAAAATTAATATTCAAAGGGACAGTCCAAAATTTTTCTCCATTCCATTAACTTCTAAGCAACCAACTGAGAAGGCTGTGCATTCAAACAGCCCTGCAAAAGAGAAATTATAATTGTAACAGAAGAGATAATTTTATGTGAGCAACAACAACAAAAATAACTATTTGTATGTGAAAACACAAGGAAGGATGACCTTCAGAATTTTTCTAAAAAATGTCCTTTCCAAACAATAGACATTATCTGAAAACTTTGTATCCAACCCCATGCTATATCTTAGGCATAACCCTATGAAGGAATGTTTTCACAATGGATTCTGCACATTTACTGTATGACTCACAAGTTTTCACTTTCTAAAAACAAATGTAATTTTGCTGGCCATCAAAGACCTGTTTTTTCAATGTTGGCCGCTTCACAGGCATGACTATCAAATGTACATTTTGTCCAATTTATTTGCAATGTTACATTATAGTAGATGATTCTGAGATCAGATGATTCATAGAGAAAGCATACATGTATTAAAGTCTTCAGGATGAAAATAGCTATTAAATGTTTACATGATGTAACACAGGCCTTCCATATAAAAATTTTCTCCAATATAAGAATACCTCCAAGAAAACTGTGCATGCTTAAATTACATTACTCAACTAAGAGCTTGAAAGCCAATATTATTTCCCCAGACAGAATGTATATTGATACCAAGATGAATATGGTTATATCTTTGTCCTCGGCTTCCCAAATGCATCATTAAGCAATCATGAAACTCATCAGATAGAGTGACAGCTTTTTATAGAATTACAATAATTTGTCCTACTATTGCCAATACTTCAGTGTTGAAATCAAAATAAACTGTGATTAAAAGTTACCATATGGTGAGATACACCCATTCATTTTCCAAACTGTCTTCAAAATACATTTGTCCTTGAATTATTTTAAGGCTGCCGTAACACAAAAGCCATCTTGTAATTACTTCAACACAAAAGTCATCTTGTAATTACTTTCAACATAAAAACATTCAGAACCAACATTGAGTGCATTCTAAATTACTCATTCATCTAAAGCCATCTAGGAATGTGAAATTCAGATTTGTTGTGGCATTTGAATGAATTTCAACAATTATAACTTTAAACGTCATCCAGTTGGGGGTAAAAGGAAGCAATGAACTGAGTAATCTATAGAGGTTAATTGATAAAAGGTAACTACATTATAATTATGCATCTTTAATATAAATAAATTGCTCAGAAACAAATGTAAAAGAAACTGATTGAATGAAAATGAACAAGATGAAGGCATTTAAAGCTGTTCTTTTAGTTTCATTAGTGTGGATTTACCCATACTTATTTATAAAGAGCAAGATAAGTCACTATTTAATTTTTTCTTTCTCTTTCTTTTGCAAGCATTATTGGTCAACCTTCATATAAAGCTGATGCAAAATAAGGGTTGTTTTTTTCAACTGGAGTGAATGGCAGTGTGTGTGTGTGTGTGTGACAGAGAAAAGTGCAAGACCCAAATCTGTTGAGAAAAAGTAAGACACCCCTGCACAGTTTCCTTCCTACTGCCAATCAAACATACTGCAGTCATTCTTTTCTCATAAAGAGATATAAAGAAGTAACTCATAGCAACACGCTGGGCAAAAACTGCTTCTTATTTCCTTCTGATCAGACAGGAAGAAAAGCAGGGCAAGTTGATTGCTTAGGAAGATCTCAATTCCAGTAGATATGTAAAGCACCAGGACTGGATTTGTTGCATGGCTAATCAAGGCATATAAACTCTATCTCCAACAGGTTAAAAGATTGGTGGGTGTTTCTTTTAAGCAACTATAAACAGCGTATCAATCCAATAATAAAACATTTGCTCTCTGTTAATTTTCAGGAGACAGGTACTCAATTTCACCAACTCACCCGCTTCTCTTTCAGCAGACATTTAATGAACATATTTTAAATATTTATCTTGTGTGGACAAGTTTTATCTCCTGCATTAATCTTACAGTTATCCTTTACCCTAACCCTTTCATCTTTGGCATCACCCTGAAGGTTTGCTATTGATCAAACTGATATTCTCAACAGCTGTCATCATTTTCAGACCATTTCTTGTTCTCATTATTCTTTTCATATTCTTCTCCTAGTAATAAGTAGGCTACTTTACTTTTAACCTCTTTAACAGATTACACAGCCATTCATTGGCTGTGTAGTTTTCTTATATATATTTTTTAAAAAGCACCAAACTCTAGTAAGATTATTCAGCATCAGAAGTGGATTTTACCCTTTTAAGTCTAAAAAAACATAGAAAATATGCTCACATATAGAACTAGTCACCCTCTTACCTCAATCTGCTTCTTCAGTTCCCTTCCAGGACCACTGGCCAGAGTAGTGGGTTCCCTGTGCAATGCATCTGCAAGGACATTAACTGTAGTTTCTGCTTCTTGTATCCACTTGAGGAACTTTTCAAGGTCTCTGAGCAAGGCATGCACTGTCTTCAGATCAGCCTCCAAACAATTCTGCCTATTGCAAGTTCTATAGGAGGGAAGGAAAAAAAATCAGCAACTATAGGAAAGGGAGAAGAAATCACCCTTTGTGTGACTCAGCACAGTTGGCATGTATTTGTTATATGCTATGTACAGTTTTAGGAACTAGTGCTGTACTCTTTCAAAATTAAAACTTATGCCATAATTGTACTATATTTTATACTAAAACCATAGTATTAAAATGTATGAAAATTACACAATTCCTCTTCTTGCCATTAACAGGGTATGAAACTACCAGTATGAGGAACAGAACGGCACACACCTGTCAGAGGTTGTGAATGAGTAATGAAAAAGCTTCTCACAATGAATGCAAACAATTCTTTGAATCTGCGTATACAGTCAAACCACAAAGTTGTTGAAAAGTGGCACTTAACTTTTTTATTTTATAACTTAACTTGAGCAATTGGAATTTGTTTGTTTATTATTTGCACAAACTGTACAGCATCTATCTATCTATCTATCTATCTATCTATCTATCTATCTATCTATCTATCTATCTATCTATCTATCTATCTATCTGTGTTTCCCCGGGGATGTCTGACTTTGCGGCCTCCTGACCGCTCTTTCCCACCGTCTGCTTGCCCGTGGCCCCAACAGCTTAAAGGGCTTCCCAGGGATGAGGGCAGTGCCAGTGGAACATGCCTTCAGGCAAGGAGAGCGGCACAGACAGGCGGGGGAAGCCGAAGGACTGGGCAGCGCAACCCTCCCCTGCCGCCTCCCTCCATCTGCCACAATCTTTTTTTTTGCAAGCAGATGAAGCTTCCAGTCTCTGTCAGTTCTCCGTCCAGGCGAAAAGTGTTTGGAAATGGAGCTTCCAGTCTCCCTCTTGGCGAAAAGTGTTTGGTCGATTCTCTCCATTTCCAAGCGCCCCATAGGCACCCAAACGCTTTTGGCCTGTCCGCGCTGCTCTCCTCCTCGCCTGAAAGCATGTTCCACCAGCACTGCCCTCACCTTCCAAGCATCTGCCCTGGGAAGCTCTGTAAGCTGTTGCGGCCCTGGGCAAGCAGACAGTGGAAGGGAACAGGCGACCGTCTTAGGCAGGTGTCTGGCAGGTGGAGGGAGGCGGTAATATCATTGAAGAGGTGGCGTCTGCTGCCGAGCAGGTGATCTCCAGGGCAAAACACGGGCAACTGGGACTGAAGAAAGCCCTTCCAACAGCAGACGTGGCTGTTGTGCAGCGGCGGTGGAGCCTTTCGCTGTCACTCCCCCATGGCTCCGAAACAGCAGAGGGCAACCAGGTAATGCGACTGAACCCACCCTGCCCATCCTCTGGAGCATTACAGTCTGGATCAGCAGGGGAGTGAAAGGGAAGAGGCAGGCAGGCAGCTGGGTCATTGAATGGGGAGCTGGGAGGTTGCCAAGCAGGGAGTGGCCTGGCTGCAGGGGCCCTGAGGTAAGCAGGTAGGGACAGCTCCACCCCCACCTGCCAAGCCTCACCTCGTGGCAGCAGAACTGGTGAGACAAGCGCCCTCCTGCCCCATTGTGGCAGCGAGCAAGCAGACAGTGAGATGGACTTATTAGCTAGGCCTTATTTTGGGATAGGGCTTATATTAGACGCATGTCAAAAAATCAGGCTAGGACTTATTTTCTGGGTGGGTCTTATTTTCATGGAAACACAGTGTCTGTCTGTCTGTCTATCTAATTTCTACAGTGTATCCTCACCTAAATGACTCTGAGCAGTTTACAATAAAACTGGCTGAGCAGCTAAACATTAGTTCTCCAGGACTAACAGACAATAAAAGAGACCTAAATCCACCCAACTTTTAATCCATAACAAAAAATTTATAGATCAATTAAATACAAAATCGTTGAAGTTTTCTGTTGTGTATCATCTGTGACCCAATTACAAATGAGTAAAAGAATATTTCTCCAATTCCAGTTCTCCAATATATACAGGATTATGTCTTACAACTGTTAATTTTTGTAGATTTTTATAAAATTTTATCTGGGACTAGAAGCATCCACATCAATGTTTAAAGCACCTGTACTTAATTCCAGAAGGACGAATTTCTTTGAATATTTTCTGTTTTACTGAACTGTTTTATTTTTTATTCTTCTATCTCTCCCAATAATGAAAAATTCTCAATAGGTAACAAAATGTAACTGAATGGTTAATAACATTTTTTTTTAAAAAGAATTAAATGTTGTACTAAAATATAAGTAACACCCTAAAACAGTAAGCATTTTTTTAACATGTGAAAGGCTAAATTACCTGAGAGAAAATGGTTTTCACTTAGATTTAGATTTTAGATTTAGATTTTATTAGATTTATACCCCGCCCTTCTCCTGGCGGACCCAGGGAGGCTTACAGCAAGCTAAAAACAGATAAAGACCTTACAAACACCATTTTAAAATACAATTAAAAGAAATATTAATTTTGCCGTTTCATTTAAAATTTTTGTGAACACCCAATATAAAATCAAATTAAAATCCAATCTAAAATACCCCTCAGGCCAGCCCCGCTAGCTGGAATAGCCATGTCTTGAGGGCGCGGCGGAAGGAGGGGAGATCCGGGATGATCCGGATCTCTGGGGGTAGTTCGTTCCATAGGGAGGGGGCTCCAACAGAGAAGGCCCTCCCCCTGGGGGTCGCCAGCCGGCACTGTCTGGCTGACGGCACCCTGAGGAGACCCTCTCTGTGGGAGCGTACCGGCCGATGAGAGGCAATCTGTGGCAGAAGGCGGTCTCGGAGATAACCAGGTCCGATGCCATGGTGTGCTTTAAAGATGATAATCAGCACCTTGAAGCGCACTCGAAAGGCCACCGGTAGCCAGTGCAGTTCGCGCAGCAGCGGCGTTACATGATACTGAAAAGAATACAATATATGCTAGGGATATCAACTGCAGAAGCTATTTCACAACTGACATGCCATCAATGAAAAGATCCGCTTAGCAGAACCTCCCTCAATTCAAGTGAAATTAGGACCAAACCATTATTGCTTTAGATTAGGAAGTGAAAGTGACAGTCTTTTCACTGACTGGGTGGGAGGCTGAGAGAAAGAAACACGAATCCTGCATCTGTCTATGAAATGTCAATTTGCTAGACTATCATCTTTACAGGATGTTTTGGAAACAGATTCTGCTATATCTATTTCAGAGTCACAGCAAAAATTCTGTCACAAAACATATTTGATCAGCTTCTCTTATCTCTTTGGCCAGCTTGTCTTATCTTAAATTAATAATATATGGTACTTAACCTCCCTGTCCCATTTTAATGCACTGGATAGTCCTTCCTTTTTCCTCAGCTGCCAAACAGAGTTTGGGTGTATGGATCTAAGTACATATATTATGAGTAGTCTACTTATCCAAGAGACAGAATGCACTACAGGGGGAGCTTTTGCAAGCCAGAGAGGAAATAATTGGCTAGAGAATTAATTTCACTATGGCACTTATCTTCCTTTCTTTATTGTGATTATGTTATCTATATAAAACCAAAGTTGTATTATCTCCAGATGCTCAGTAGTACAGCTTTTAATTTAAGAAATATATGCCTCTTCATTAGAAGATTGTGTAAACTAATATTAGGAGTCTAAGAATTACAAATAGACCTCGATTACAACAGTTTGTTTAGTGACTGTTCAAAGTTACAATGGCACTGAAAAAAGTGACTTATGACTGTTTTTNTGGCCTTCTAAAATATTTTCTTTTAATTCGGTTTTTAATATAGATATTATTGTATGATTGTATTGTGGTTTTTATGAGGCTGTTAGCCGCCCTGAGTCCTATGAGGAGAAGGGCGGGGTACAAATTAAATTATTATTATTATTATTATTATTATTATTATTATTATTATTATTATTATTATTATTATTATTATTATTATCTATCTATCTATCTATCTATCTATCTATCTATCTATCTATCTATCTATCTATCGTGTTTCCCCGGGGATGTCTGACTTTGCGGCCTCCTGCCCGCTCTTTCCCACCGTCTGCTTGCCCGTGGCCCCAACAGCTTAAAGGGCTTCCCAGGGATGAGGGCAGTGCCAGTGGAACATGCCTTCAGGCAAGGAGAGCGGCACAGACAGGCGGGGGAAGCCAAAGGACCGGGCAGCGCAACCCTCCCCTGCCGCCTCCCTCCATCTGCCACAATCTTTCCTTTTGCAAGCAGATGAAGCTTCCAGTCTCTGTCAGTTCTCCGTCCAGGCGAAAAGTGTTTGGAAATGGAGCTTCCAGTCTCCCTCTGGGCGAAAAGTGTTTGGTCGATTCTCTCCATTTCCAAGCGCCCCATAGGCACCCAAACACTTTTCGCCTGTCCGCGCTGCTCTCCTCCTCGCCTGAAAGCATGTTCCACCAGCACTGCCCTCACCTTCCAAGCATCTGCCCTGGGAAGCTCTGTAAGCTGTTGCGGCCCTGGGCAAGCAGACAGTGGGAGGGAACAGGCGACCGTCTTAGGCGGGTATCTGGCAGGTGGAGGGAGGCGGTAATATCATTGAAGAGGTGGTGTCTGCTGCCGAGCAGGTGATCTCCAGGGCAAAACACAGGCAACTGGGACTGAAGAAAGCCCCTCCAACTGCAGACGTGGCTGTTGTGCAGCAGCGGCGGAGCCTTTCGCTGTCACTCTCCCATGGCTCCGAAACGGCAGAGGGCAACCAAGTAATGTGACTGAACCCACCCTGCCCATACTCTGGAGCATTACAGTCTGGCTCAGGAGGGGAGTGAAAGGGAAGAGGCAGGCGGGCAGCTGGGTCATTGAATGGGGAGCTAGGAGGTTGCCAAGCAGGGAGTGGCCTGGCTGCGGGGGCCCTGAGGTAAGCAGGTAGGGACAGCTCCACCCCCACCTGCCAAGCCTCACCTCATGGCAGCAGAACTGGTGTGACAAGCGCCCTCCTGCCCCATTGTGGCAGCGAGCAACCAGACAGTGAGATGGACGTATTAGCTAGGCCTTATTTTGGGATAGGGCTTATATTAGGCACATGTCAAAAAATCAGGCTAGGACTTATTTTCTGGGTGAGTCTTATTTTCATGGAAACACAGTGTCTGTCTGTCTATCTAATTTCTACAGTGTATCCTCACCTAAATGACTCTGAGCAGTTTACAATAAAACTGGCTGAGCAGCTAAACATTAGTTCTCCAGGACTAACAGACAATAAAAGAGACCTAAATCCACCCAACTTTTAATCCATAACAAAAAATTTATAGATCAATTAAATACAAAATCGTTGAAGTTTTCTGTTGTGTATCATCTGTGACCCAATTACAGATGAGTAACAGAATATTTCTCCAATTCCAGTTCTCCAATATATACAGGATTATGTCTTACAACTGCTAATTTTTGTAGATTTTTATAAAATTTTATCTGGGACTAGAAGTATCCACATCAATGTTTAAAGCACCTGTACTTAATTCCAGAAGGACGAATTTCTTTGAATATTTTCTGTTTTACTGAACTGTTTTATTTATTCTTCTTCTATCTCTCCCAATAATGAAAAATTCTCAATAGGTAACAAAATGTAACTGAATGGTTAATAACATTTTTTTTAAAAAAGAATTAAATGTACTAAAATATAAGTAACACCCTAAAACAGTAAGCATTTTTTTAACATGTGAAAGGCTAAATTACCTGAGAGAAAATGATTTTCACTTGATACTGAAAAGAATACAATATATGCTAGGGATATCAACTGCAGAAGCTATTTCACAACTGACATGCCATCAATGAAAAGAGCCGCTTAGCAGAACCTCCCTCAATTCAAGTGAAATTAGGACCAAACCATTATTGCTTTAGATTAGGAAGTGAAAGTGACAGTCTTTTCACTGACTGGGTGGGAGGCTGAGAGAAAGAAACACGAATCCTGCATCTGTCTATGAAATGTCAATTTGCTAGACTATCATCTTTACAGGATGTTTTGGAAACAGATTCTGCTATATCTATTTCAGTGTCACAGCAAAAATTCTGTCACAAAACATATTTGATCAGCTTCTCTTATCTCTTTGGCCAGCTTGTCTTATCTTAAATTAATAATATATGGTACTTAACCTCCCTCTCCCATTTTAATGCACTGGATAGTCCTTCCTTTTTCCTCAGCTGCCAAACAGAGTTTGGGTGTATGGATCTAAGTACATATATTATGAGTAGTCTACTTATCCAAGAGACAGAATGCACTACAGGGGGAGCTTTTGCAAGCCAGAGAGGAAATAATTGGCTAGAGAATTAATTTCACTATGGCACTTATCTTCCTTTCTTTATTGTGATTATGTTATCTATATAAAACCAGGGCTTTTTTTCAGCCGGAACGCGGCGGAACCGCGTTCCGGCACCTTTTTCCTGGCCGGCCGCACCGGGCGCAACATCTGGGGGGGCGCGCTCGCACTCGCAGCTCTCTGCCCCTGCCTGGCTCACAACCGCGGCCATAGGGAGGCTCGGTCGGCGCGCCCCTGGCCCGTTTCCTAGGCGACCCTGCCCGAGCAAGAAGCGGCAGAGAATCCAGAGGCTCTCACGCCGGCGCCCTCAAAGCCAAACGTGGGC